CTCTACACTCGTTCTGTCTACAAATAGGGTAATAAGTATGTGTTTGGCTGGTCTTGAACGTGCGTTTAGGACCGGCTCAGGAGAATGGACGCGACTAATGCCCGAGTCGCAGGTGAGGGCATATCAGCGTTCGTCCTCCTGAGCAAGGTCTTGAACGTTAAAGACCGGCCAAGCACATATTTATTACCATTCATAAATACCCTTATATTCAAAGAGTCAAAAGAAGTCAACATATGATGGATTTCCACCGATTTTGTGCTAAAAGTTTACTTTCATTTTCCCGAACACCCCCGTTCATTTTATGGTATATTCCTCTTGAAGGTTATCCAATAGAATAATCTGATTAGACGCCATAACTGCAGTGGGACCGCACTCACACGCACATTCTTCAGCTTGACGCGCTTGTGTATAGGCCTATGGCAAATCACGACACCCTGTTGATCGAAGCTGCATGCAACCCGCGCATACCACCTGTCCACGAGCGTTGTGCCACCGCAGTAATGGCTTCTAATTCACGTGCTCAAATTACATTAGATAAACTGGGTGCGTGCGTGGCGCCTCGCGTGCTCATAGACTCCTGACCAATCAGACCAAACTATCTCGTATGCATGTGCCAGGGCGTGAGTTATCACTTCATAGCGGGCATTATCAAATGTTAATACAAAGTTGCGTGACGCGTTTCAGCCAACAGGAATGGAAAAACTGTCCCAGGTATATGAATTACATTTAAAGACACCATTCAAGTTAAGATAAACTAAGAGTGGCGTTATAGATACATGCAGATGGACTATACTAGTGTTTTAGTGTCGTTTGTTACGGGTTCATGTGTCACTTAGAAGCCACAACAGAGGCTCCCTCAACAGCTGGCACTACACCTGAAACCACCACAACCGCGTTTACCGAAATTACAACGACTACCACACCGTCCACGACTGGCCTGTCAACAACAGAACACGTAACCACAGCCACTGTGCGCACCACCACTCCAACAATAACAGCCACCGAGGAGAAGACCACCCTGCACATTACAACCCAGACAACTCCAACAGGTGATTGTTCTTACTTAATTAAACTGATGGGGATTCACCAGTTATTGAAGAAATTTGAATGTTTGCGCATTCATATACACCAACTTGATTTCTCCGGAAACTCTCCGGAAGCACTGCGCACGTAGTCCTTAAAATTGCACTGAAGGAAAGGGTACACATCAAACTTCATACTTTCACTGTTCAAAACGCAAGTGTTTCACTTGTTTTGAAAGCATTTGGCGCGCAGTGCGAAATGCATTTCAGTTGCAATGGGTAAACTAATCTGTCTCTTTCTTATATTTCTTAAATGGAAGGGGGAGTGACATCTGCTGATCCAAATACTTCCAAATACTCGGGTAAAATAATGCACAGTTGTTCTCATTTTTTTTTGGAAATTACTATTGCTTCATTCTTTTATGCAATTTTCCCCTTGTCTGTCTACTTTCAAAAAGAAAAAGCTACCACTGAGGTATCAACAACACGTTTAACAACAACACAGACAGAGTCAACCACTGAGCAACCAACAACGACAGAAGAAGTAACCTCTACAATTGAAACGACTACTAGTCTGGGCACGACGACAGAAAAAACAACAGTTCAAAGCACAACAGGTGAGTCATTAAATACTTTTATTGCAAGTCACTAATTACAAGGCAACAGGCCACTGAAGGTAAAGACTGCAAGAGTCAAGAGAAACGGGAAAGAGAAACAAAGACAACAAATCAGATTTGAAAGCAAATGCTCCCCTTGCGCTTAATCCTTGATTAGATAGGACAAAAGTGCATATTATTTCGAAGCTGAAACAGCGCATTCACGAAGCTTAAAAGTAACTTCGGAAGACGAAACATCACTAAGGAAAAGGGAGTAGCATACGACCCACTTTAAGTCACTATTGCTTTTCCGATTTCCAGCTGTTTCAACAACCACCAATACACCAACCACCACGGTGGTTACAACAAGAACAACAGAAACAGTGCCGACAACTCCAACCACGCCTTCCACAACTGAAAGTGTTACCAGTAGTGTTGTGTACACAACAACATCTGAGGGTACAACAACTGAAGAGACTACCACCGCCCTCATATCCACAGAGGCAACCACAACTGGTAAGTGTATATAAGAGACATTTTGCAAGTACAAATGCCCAGTAGCGCCAGAACAAAAGAACTTCAACCCGTTATCGCGGACTCACAGTTACAGTCAGTGAACCAGCTAGGGATTTTGCGCTGGTACAGATTTTCAATCCGTAATAAACGAATTGTATTTTTGTAGCACTAACGGACTTTCGTACATTTAGCCTACACAAATAGTTATGACCTTGTCACCACGTTAATGAATTTATGCACAAGGTTGACCACACGGAAGCATGAAATGTTAACGTACCTGGTATTTCCATTAAAATTAATTTGCGAATGACAAATATGAACTTAACTTTCTCAGAAACACCAACAACCACTGAGGTTACTTCTACGCGTTTAACTACTACGACTGAGCCATCGACCACTGAAGAGAGCTCGACCATTGTTGTGACTTCCACACCAGAGTCAACAATGACAAGGAAGACCTCAACAGAGAAAACAACAGGTAGCCGAGAAATAAAGACAAACTTGTCCTTTGGATGCTATGCACTTTCCACGTTAAATTAATGATACTGCCATTTTCGAATTCTGCTGATTCTGCTTTCATATTATCGTCGTAATGTGTGTGTCTATTCTGAGGGTTGGAACCAGACCGAATGAAATTTCTAACTTTACTTTCCAGTAAAGCTCTCGGTATAACCGTCGTATAGCTACGAATAAAAGCAGTAACGAAATCAGATTTAAATCAAAGATTTTATTCCCCTTTTTCACAAAAATGGAGCCACGAATTAAAAAATATATTTAAACCAGTACGTGAATCCATTGAGCCCAGGAATTCGATTCAGCAGTTTCTAACCCCAGATCCATTCTTTCTTTCCACTGTGCTACTGAAATAGGCTTGGCTTTTACTTTAAGTCTTTGTATCATTATGCTTAGAAGGTACGTCCGCAAACAGTACGTCAATAACAACAGGATTGTAGTGTCGTGTTTAAAACTTAACAAAGGCTATTACCATTGGGCAGTCCCTGGCACTCTACCCACCATTACAAACCTGTGCCGTCGATCATACACATGTCCACTTTTAGTAATCGAAAATACAACATACCAGACAGTATTGATTGCCCTTTTCCCAAAAGACAGTCCGCAATAGAGGGATTTCACATTAGCTCCGTCTGCGCATATCTGCATCGAAATTGTTGTTGTTTCGTTTTAATGGCGATTTCAGCAACTCGGGCTATTTGCGCCAATAACTGTAACTTTATTCATACACTTTATTAATCAGTATCACATTACGGAGTTAGGAAGAAGGTCCAGTTTTAGAGGCAGGAGGAAACCGGAGTACCCGGAGAAAACCCGCGAGAGCGAGTATTGACTGGACACCAAATGCACTTAAAGCCTGGGCCAAGCCGGTACTCGAACCCGGGCCTTATTGGTGCAAAACCAGGAAAAACCGCTACGCTAACCCGCTCCCCCGTATCAAAATGGAGGCTCTCTGTGTTGAACCTCATCGCGCGCCCTCGGAGTCGACACAGTACATGCAGTATCCCGTGCGTAATTGTGACACCACTTCAGTTTAAACCACGCCCATTGCACAAGATAAACGACAATCGCCGGCACATTAGTTCGCGGTAAATTGTCGTTATTTTTTCTTTTGATTTTACGTGTTGAGTCATCCACAAAAATCGGCAGCCTGAAAAGTCTGAATTTAACATACCTTTATGTATTTGTGTCTTGATTCCTTACTTTCAATCGTCTGATCGTATTATGTACTAAAACTGACACATACAGCCTCGTTTTCAAACATGGAAGTGCGCAGATCGACGCTAAAAGCGTTGTATTAGGATCCCTCTATAGTGGATACCATTGGCGTGTCGAGCGAGGAGGGGGGATTTTCTCCACAGTGTAACTCGTCCACCAAAAAATTACAAAAATTACAAGTCATTACTTGGTTGGTGCAAACGTAGTAATGGCTCGTGGACAGTAGTATGCGCACTTCACATCCTTCTTCGACCAATAGGGTGTCAAGATCTGCCAAAAGCACACGCGCGTCAGTTTTAGGAATTGGCGTGTAAGTGCGGTGCCACCGCAGTTATGGCATCTCATATCGCTGCAGTTAATCCACTGGAAATACGGCGTAAATTCTCGAAATAAAATAAAACTACTCCAAATGTTATTTTCCTTCATAATTGGATCCATTTTTGTCCGTGGCTAGAGGTTACTGAAGCCAAAACAACAGTAATCACAACAGTCTCAACTACGACCACTACTTCATCAACAACTACAACCCCGTCGACAACTGAAAAATTAACCACAACTACTTTGCATACAAGCACACCTCAAACGACAGCTATCACAGAGACAACGACATCGCGGAGCACTACTCAACCATCTTCAACAGGTGAGCACTCATTTCACTCACGTGAAAAATGCCTTGACGCATCTATATTTTGTGACGTGGAATGAGAAAGATCAAAACTTTCTTTTGGGTATTAATGAAAAATTTTGCTCAAAAGATATTACAATGGACCTAATGGTTCGGTTAAGTCCAATATACTCGTTTAACATTACAAGGAAACTTAATTCTCATTTGACCAGTGACGATCTATAAAAGGACCATAGAATGATAAAATAAACTAATATGAAATGGAAAATGTAATGTACTAATGTAATTGAAAATATTTCATACAAATCCTTAAAATTTCACCTTTGTGTTTCAGTTAACTTATTTCCAAGTTTTGTTTTGCCTTTTGTCTGTTTTGAGGTGTTTTTTATAGAGAAAACTCTGACGTAACCCGAGGCACCGATCCTCAATTGCATTTATTGCATTGCATTTATTTTTCCACAGAAATTGCCAGGTCATTAATACTTCGCTATCAAAGTTTTCGATTTTTTTGGCAATTTATTGTTGTATCAGTATGTAGCAATAAACCAGCGAGTAACCTTTTTCAGAAGTGTTTCCAAAGAGCAACTGAAGAGTGTCTTCCTAGCTTTACATCACACTGTAATGGAAAAGCTTGGTAAACTTTGAATGTTTCAAAGGGTGCTATTTATAGTTCACTTAACTCCAGAAAGATTTCAAACAGTTTTCCTGCATTGACGAAGACTTTAAACAGGCACATAAAGTAATTCCAAGATAAAGTCCTTGCAAAGTTGAATTTAATCTAGAAATAGCACAGATTGAAACATAGATCGTCCAAGTTTTAACCTTGGATCAGTGCTCGTTGGAACGAATGAGCGAGCGCCTTAACTTCGTGTTGTGTGCCTTACGTAACTTTTCATTATTTTCATTTCTCAAAGAAACAACCCCAGTTACGACCGAGAAGACAGCTACACGTTTAACCACAACTGAGAAACCGACAACTTTCAAGCCAACGGAGACAACCACAGAGGAGGTCACCACAACAGTTGTAACTATCACACCCGAATCATCTACCGCAGAAACAACATCAGAGTTCACTACAACAGGTGGGCTCACTTACTATTCATAAAATTACGAACAGTGAAAATGTAGTGATAGTTTGCCCCATTATGCTTTTACTGAAAACAAAAGAGCCCTTTCATATCCCAAAAGAAGACGCATTTTCTCAGAATGATTCTACCACCGTTGCAATAGTGTACATGTATTTTGAAACAAGCAAAGCCAAACCTGTGGAAAGTAAGCAGCTATATCTTTCTCAACTGAAGCTGTTCCGACTGCCACTGGAGTGCCAACAACCACATTAGTTACAACGAGGACAACAGAAACAGTTCCAACGACCCCAACCACACTCTTGCCAAGTGTAAGCATCACTAGGACCGTTGCGCATACAAAAACACCTGAGGGCACAACAACCGAGGAAACAACGACTGTTTTCACGTCTACAAAGTCGACCACTACTAGTAAGTGTCTTTTCAGCCTGTGGAAACTTGTAGGAACCTATGAAAATTGCATGAGCAATTTGTATGAATTGTTAAAATAACTGTCGAAAATTAAAAGGGGGTTCACGGGCTCATCACCTTCCAGAAACCGTGCCCTTTATGCGACCCTGCACCCCCTCCAGAGAAAACCAGAGCTACCGGTACTGAATTAATATGACAAAACCTTAGGGCTTTCTTCTGGAAAATGAGTCCGTACACAGGTATCCCGCACAAAGTAGGCCTATGCCATTTATGCAATACTTACTATATTCATCATACCAATAGATCACCCACAGGCTTCTTATTGTGCCCTAAAAATACCGAAACAGAATACTGGTTCTGAGTATTACATTGCACTGCATCCGGTGGCACTCCTTAATGCTACTGCTTTTGCCCCGGGCGATAGCACCTGTTTGGGCTCAAACCATGGGTCAGTAGAATTCAGCCTCACTGGGCAAAAGCCCTCGTACCTCCGAGGAAGGTTTTTAAGCCAGAAGCTATGATAAGAATAGTCGGACGGAAAACCAACGACCAAAGGACCTCGCTGCCACCGTCCCAGCGTGTTAGCCATGGCAGATAAGTTCCGGGTGAAATCCATCTAAAAACTCCACGGCACAGGCTTGAAGGACACGGCCGTTAACTACTTAAAGCCCTGTGGCGATAGGATAGGGACAGCCCCAATCCTGCAAGGAAGTGGTTCAGGTGTATGGGTCATCTGACGTTGACCCTGGAGATGACTGCATCATTCGACAGCACCCTGAATAACCATGAAGGACGGGGGCCTGGAATGGTGGACCAAAGCTCGTATCGAAGGTCCCCCGGTTCGCTATCTGCTGTCAACACGCATCTCGAATGCGTTCAAAAACCAACAGGAAAAAGGGCCTCAACTCCCTCACAAGGTGTGCACGGTGTGAAACTTGGAAATTCTGGAATGAAGTTCGCTTCCCAGGTATCAGCAATCCCCCAAAACACGGTGCTGGCTACACTCTTTACTTTTCAGGCAAGCCAAGAGCTTGATGGCCTCCAAACTTGAAAGTTCACCAACAAAACTGGACTCCAAAAAACACATGTGCGTGTTGCGTTTGACCGTCAAAATCGCTCCCCTTGGATATGCAACGCTTGGCCCAAGCGTTGACTAGCATAATTATGGAAATGTGCCTTTAACCTCAACTTCATACCCATTCCAAAAGGAACAGGTACAAGTGGTTTTGCGAGGCACTGGTGGCAGTGTACAGCCCCTCCTACAAGGTTCAAATTCTTTTCACAACGTGGAGATGGCCAGGCGCTCTTTACAGACAAAGACTCCATCATGAACCAGTAAACGGAGCACTTCCGTGCCCTTCAGTGCTGACTTTATGGTCCAAGACTCAGCAATTTTCGCATGTCCTGCGACGAAAAACATCCCACTTGGCAGAGGCTGCAAAACTCTTTGCTCTTGGAATCAGCTTGCAGACGACACAAGTTCTCCATCAACCCACACCCCTTTCATCCTCCTAATACATCACCATTGGCGAAAAAGAGCTGAAGTCGGTCCATGAACTCAGTCAAGTGTGAACATATATTATGCGACTTCCAAAATATGACGACGGACACCACGAAACGTTGAATGGAAACACTGCAATACACAATTGTGATTTCCAGCATTTTTTCAAATAGGAATATGTATATGATTTATGCTCCAAAATTGGAAACGACGCTTACTATTTGTTAGAAACGGAAGGTCCATACTCCAGGCAAAGACTGTGATCCAATTGCCTCAGTTCCTAGCTAGTTGTAGAAATTTTATGTAGAAGGTCATATCCTTGTTTTCTTTCAATAAAGTTCACGTTTCTTTGCAGGGTACCATTCACAAGAAGCAGTCCTTTTGGTAATTTTTTCAAAGCCTCCTTATCGTTCCTTGGTATTACAATCAAATTTTTTGTTGTGCTAGCTGTCTTGGCAGGTGTCATGCAATAGAAGAGCCTTTTCTCCTTTCACATATCCTAAAATATTGTAGATATCTGTGTTTCAACAATATTGAATCCCAATTTTCCCCAGTACAAAAAAAATTGCATTGTTTTCAACCACGTGTTCCCTTAAATTAACACGACCACAATTTAAAGCCTCTCCATGCCCGTGCTCTGCACAGAAATGGAAATGATTTAAGAGAAACAAACACCCTTAGCTCAAAAAGTGCTCTGTTCACGATTCTGTTGATTATTGATGAAGAAAATATAAAATATAGAAAAGAGACATATAGAATACAAACAACGCTTCGAGTTTATGCACATTCTTAACACATTTTGTACCCACTTATCTTTGACATGTTTAATTGCGACAGGGTTATACGTTTAGGAATGTGTTGAAATGCTAGGTGGATTTTAGAAAGCTAAACATGTACCACGGAAACTCTTCTGGCGTTTAAACACATTCCTAAACACATCTTAATAAACGTGTAATGGGTTGAACGTGTGAAAAAAGTGGGTCCAAAAAAACGTTATTTTTGAAAGTTTACATAATGATTACTCATACAAAGTATATCTTGTTGTAATAAGGGAATAAATTTAACTAGTCCTTCAGTACTGTGGTCTTTTTAAGGATACCAGATTCTTCAACATTTCCAGCTTCAACATTCCAGCAGCAAAAGATACAATTATGCTTTACTATCTCTGCTCACTTCATAGCAACCCCAGTTACCACCGAAAGGTCGTCTACACGTCTCACAACAACTGCAAAGCTTTCAAGCACAGAGAAAACAACTGCAACGGTTCTGACCACAACACCCGAGTCAACAACTGAAGAATTAAAAACAGTGCTCTCTACAACCGGTCGGTTTCTCTTTTCTTTCTTTTTTATGGCGCCTGTTGAGCAGCTCCACTGAAACATTTTATAAACTATTGGCGGTGTACGTTTCTAGTCCAGGAAGGATCCCTCCGAAACAATGCTTAAATTTAAGCATTCAGCATCCACTCTTGGTTCTGAAGGTATTTAAATTTCTATTTTTTTCTCAAACCAGAGCTTTCTACTACGGAAGCCGAAACAACGGTTGTGACTACTGTCACGACTACGACAACACCAACAACGACAACAAGCCCACCAACGACTACAGAGGTAACTACCAGAACGGTGCAAACGACGACCCCAGAAACGACAACCATTCGGGAGACAACAACAGCACGAAGCACCACAAAGCCAACACCAACAGGTGGAACCTCGTAACGATACATAAAATTTGTGTGACAAAAGATGATGGTGCCTGCTTATTAGAATTCCTGGTTGTTATTTCCATTCAAAACTGGAAGGATACAATGAAAACCTTTCGAAAAAGAAAATGAGTACATGCTTGGATCACCATCTTGTTGGTTTTGATTACAAATTTCTCAAACCAGCAACCCCTGTTACAACTGAGAAGTCAACTACCCGTGTGGCAACAACGACGAAACCTACAACATCCAAGCCAACCGAGACGACCACAGAGGAAGTTACCACAAAAACAGTTACTTCCACTCCCGAGTTAACTACTGAAGAAACCACAGCAGAGCTGTCTACAACTGGTTCGTTATTATGATTCTCTTAAACAGCCAGCTTTTCGATCTACAAAAGGCTATTTATAGACTTTTGGCGGTGTACGTTTCTATTTCAGAAAGGATTCCTCTGAAACATTTCATTAAATTCAAGCATTCCATTCAGAAAACAACCACCCTTGGTTCTGAAGGTTTTTTACTTTTCTGTTTCTTTATCAAAACAGAGCTTTCTACTACAGAAGCCGAAACAACGGTTGTGACTACTGTCACGACTACGAGAACACCAACCACTACAACAAGTCCGCCAACGACTACAGAGGTAACAACCAGGACCGTGGAAACTACGACCCCAGAAACGACAACCAGTCAGAAAACGATGACTTCACGGAGCACCACAAAGCCAACATCAACAGGTGCAACCAGAGCAACCACCATTTTCAAATTTTTCCTTTGGAACGTTTTTAAATTTCCCAGACAAATATTCTTTGTTTACTGAATAATCACTTAGCTATTCAGAAGAGAAAACTACGATTTTAAGTAGGCCTAAGCCTTATTTGTATGCAGAGCTTAATTAAACGTTCATTTCTCAAAATGCAAAGCTCAAGTTTCCACTGAGGAAACAACTACTCGTGTAATAACAACGGAGAAACTTACAACCTCCAAGCCAACGATGACAACCGAAGAGGAGGTTACCACAGTATTGGTGACTACCACTCCCGAGTCAACTACCGAAGAAACAACAACAATGCTGACAACAACTGGTACGCGGCATCTTTCCAATGAGTAAAAAGTACACAATGAAATACTTTCATGCTTGATATTTTAGAAAAACCTCAAAAGAAAAACAAATTACTTTAGTGCCATCTTCAAGACAAAGTCGGATTTTCAGTTGGAAGAAATTGCTCTTTAATTTTGATATATCTTTTGCTGTATATAAATGCAAAATGACACTAAAGTTGCCGAGCATCGAACTACATCGTCGAAGCTAAACAGATTCTAACGGGTTATGTATAGTTATCAAGGCACGTAAATCTAATTAATCGCCGTCAGCTTGTTGTCTTCAGTGCTTACGACGAATCGTTTCTTCATCAATAACAGAATCCTCGACTACCCAGACAACAACGACTGTCGTTACAACAGTTACAACTACAACTACACCGTCAATAACATCGGAGGCAACTGCCACCCAGCAAACAACAAAAGAATCTTCAACCATTCGGGAGACAACGTCAAGTACAACCACTCCGCTGTCGACAACCGGTGAAAATCAAGCCTTTTATTTTAAGGGCACTTTCCGATTATATTCTGATATGTTTGAATCAAACTCTGTTTTCCTTTTCCAAGAACCGTTGCAAAAGAACTTCACATTTGACTTGCATGAAAATTGACGCCCGTGGTCTAGAATAATTCCAATTTCCTATTGCAGTATTGTCTGCAATATTCACGCTTTTCGTGACGTCCTGGTCATAAAAGTCCGAGGTTTTCGCTCCCAACTTCAGTCCAGATGACGGCGTACTCGTTGAAATTCACCCTCATGTTATGGATTCTCTTCGTGAAAGCCTAAGTATTTCCTTATCAATAGTGGTTCCTATTGACGTAAAAATTGAAGCAATGAATATGAAAAACAAATTAGGTATAGTTGTATTGTTCCATTTCCTACAAATGCTCCAGCTTTATCTGGAAAGAGTGGCATTTCAATTTTCCACACCTTACATGATATTTACATCATACCAAGTAATGTAATGTAGTTCCAGTTTACACTGTGAAACATAAGCAATCGAAGGTTCAAGTTTAAATTTTGAAATTAAAATTTCATCCTTTTTTTTTCCTTTCTATTTTGTCAGCTTGGCTTGTTATTTTTCCTAGAATGGTTCCAAAAATTGATGAATAAAGCTCATTGTAACGGATGCTTTAAAAATTAAAGAAGCAAACAAAAGTTTACAGAATAATTGGAAACTGTATTATTACACCTTCAAATTGCACTTCTGATGACTGTTTGCTTTCCATCGCTCAATCAGTTACACCAACAACAAAGATGACCTCTCCTGAGCAAACACCGACCCCAACTACGGAGGAAACCACAACCACAGTTACAGCTAACGCGACATCTGAAGGTAAAACGAAGGGCCATCCCTTATCTCACATCAGCTAGTACTACGCTTGCTAAAAAGATAGACACACAGTACACACTTCAACTCGTGATCCCTACTGCAGTCACATCGGCATCAGAAAACTATTAAGGGATGTTGATTTTGGGTGTATATATTAAAGTTCCCCAACTGCCATGGAATAATAGGCCATGTGTACTGATGACGTCGCACTTTGTAACTTTACATATTCAATTCCGTATGGATCCCGTAGGGGCGCATGGTCCACTGAGCTTCATCTAAAATTCTTTATCACAGACACGATGTTATAACGGTACTTCTTAGTACACTTCTCAACTTGTCCTCAAAGAATTTTAGCTCACTATATCGTGAGACAGGCCAGTTACAATTTTAATTAAACAATGTAACTGGTTATAGGTATATTTAACAGTAGTCATGGTAGTTGGAAGAATGCTGAGTCGTTTACAAAAAGTCTCACTCATGGTGCATAATCTAGACTTTTGAAAGCGACAAATCAAATAATGACTTTCCAACTGCAGGACCTTCAGAGTGTGTCTTCCACTCGCACTCTAGCATCGTGATGATTGACGATTGCTCGTCAGAGGGCGAGGTTTTGCACACCTCCTGCAGAGGCAGTTGCGGCAGTTCGGGCACGCGTGTTGCTATGCTGCCAAGTTCTCACCTAGAATATGACTGCGACTGCTGCAAGCCGTCCAAGGTTCACCAGAAACACGTCCAGATGGAGTGCACCAACGGAACACGGTTTATTTACCCCTTTTACGAGATCACGGCATGTCTGTGCAACTCGTGTAGAATTAATCCCTTCAACTTACGCAAATTCAGCACAACCCCCAGACCTCTTTGGCAAATATAATAGTTCAGGTTTATTCAGCTTCTTTACTAACGATGAGTAATACAGGGACGCTGTGAAACCAGTGACACAACGGGCAAACATTTTCAACCGCATGTGGTTGATCAACACATAAACACCAAATGAAATTAAAATGTCTGATTATACAACCATCCCTGCCGGAACGAGGTGGCAATATTGTTTTCGTTGATACACATCAAGGATGTTTGACTCCATTTCTTAAGATAATGTCATCCCCAAAACCGTTCACGATTATCAGGCGTTTAGTAAAAGAAGCTTTAGTGTAGAAAATGGTTTATTTTCTTTTAACCATAAATTGTGGCTCCTAAATACCCAACAGCATTGGAGCAACACTTTCCCTAGAAATGGTTATTAACTATTCTTTATTTTAGTCAAATGCTAACCAGTTATACATGTAAGGAGAAAGTCAACTGTTATCGGTGTTGAAATGAATAACCGATTAGTTTAAGCCAAAAATAGCCGAAGGTTGCCATTTGCTTTGAAAGTGTATAACACAGATTAAATACTTATCTGCCCTCAGCAGCTGCGTGCACATTTAGGACATTCAAAATATTCCTCTCAGAGGAAAAAATAACTGCACAAGGAAAAAAATGAAATCCTTGTAACGTCCAGTGTAGTAACGAACAAATCGGTTATACGCCATTGTTATTTGCAGAGGTTTTATTCGCCCGTTAAATGCCAGTTATTCGAAATTAGTTTTGCTTTTTTGAATCAGGAAAAGATATCATGCGTTGGCTCTCCTCTACAGCAATGATAGGAATGCAGCTTTTGTCTGGCAAAAGTGTAGTTATTCCATTCTACGTACCAAGTCGAGATTTTTTTTATCAAACCAAGTCACCTTCGTTTTCGTGTCGGAGGCTTGTGAAGATATGCGCTGCGTAATGAAGCCGTTTATGTTACTTCGACACAGACAGCGCGTGCTCAACACTTATTCAACCAACACCCACAAAAACAAAAAAAAGGGAATGTGTACCGACTTTTGCGTGAAATTGCCCTCTTCTCCATTCCAACCACACAAAACAATAAAACGTATTTGAATTTTAATAATGAATGAAATGACTGTTCGAATTTGACTATGGCTTAAAAAGAAAAACAAGTTTAATTTAAAAAGATAAACTGTTTGCCTAGCTTTAATTGCATTTACCTCCTTGGGTTAAGGGTTTTGGATGCGGATAGAGACATCTGTCATTTACGATTGCTTTGTCTTTTTACAATTTTTCAAGCGTTTACGAAATTAATTCATTGTCAGCATTTACGAAGAACAGCATCAGTTGCTAATTATTAAATACTATGACATGCACTCAAAGTTATAGATACAAGCAATTACAAATTGGTCGTTTCCATTAAACGTTTAGTCTACGTTGATTTTTGTCTAGTTTTTGCACGAATCTTGAAGTGTTTGAATCAAAACAAAACAAACACTTGACAAAGAAAAAACAGGTAAACCTCGAAAGAACAAAACAACGGAAAAATGTTCAGAGCTTCTTTAAAGGGCAAGATGCTCAAAAAGAATGAGTTATTATGCAGTGTATCTGTGGTTTGGATGTATTGACTCTTCGACAGACAAACTGTATCTTGATTTTGTTTAAGTGCAGTTTAATACACTGTAACTCAGTTTCTCCTCGACCGCTTTTTGAACAATTTCCTGACAGAGAAATCAAATAATGAACAACTTTGTACAATGTGTAATCCCCTTCCAGTGTAGGAAAAATGTTAACCCCGATGCTAACATACAATAGGGTTTTAAAATGAACTTGCTCACTTCTTGAAAGCACATATAACATCCCATATCCTTAAAACACAACCAAATAAGAGATGAATAAACTGACAAAACTTACATCAGCATCCTTTGGCTGTTTTACAGAAGTCAAGTGTCAGTTTGAGGGAGGGGATTATGTAGGCCTGCTCACCTGAGACATAAAACTTTTACATTGAAAATGACAATAGTTATTGATTTTTTTATGTCAAGGAGTTTAACAGCATGATTGCTTGAACACAACGTTGAAACCCAAATGAATGTTAAAGCAAACTAACTTGTGAACAGTCATTGGTCAGTGGCTCTTTACTTGCCATTAATTTGCACTTGTTAAATAATACAACTCTGCTTATTTCGCAATTACAAGTCATAAAAATACAATAAATTAACGTCATAAATTCAGACAGGGACCCTATTTTGTTTTTACTGAAGCAAATGACTTTAATGTCGCTTCATCTGCAATAAAACTGGCCGCCTTAGGTGTGTTTGCAGTGGATTTGGGGCTTGATTAAAACCATTATCAGTTAGTTGTTTTGATTGTTTATTTTAAATTTGTCTATTTGCTGCTATTATGCGTAGATTGCTAATAAAAAAGAAATGCTTGCAAGTTATTCTGGCATCATTTGACATGTCATTTGTGAAAGCTTTAATTTTAAAACAATAACAAATTTTAGTGGGCCTCGCGCTAAACTGAGTCATTATGTTCTGAAATTGGCCGGCAAATCTGTAGTACTATTAGTAACATAATGGACACCGTAATATGCAAATCGATCGATCTGGTTTGCAAAAGGGTAATTTTTTAAACTCTGACATGCTACAAAGTTAGTTAATTCAATGCACATCTGCCAGAGAGTTTCGCAATTGTTACATATAATTCTTATATATATTCTTCCATCTGTGTCATATTAATTCAAAATAAAATTATGTGGCTATGGAAATGTTATCATCGATCTCGAAGTGAACTGTTGACAAAACTGATTCTTCTATCATAAATCAATACAATCCGTCGGATATTTTTGCACCTGCTCGACAAGTGTGCGTCTTGATTCTTGGCTCGTGAACGACCAGCGCAAACACGTGGTGCGGCATTAATGGTATGTTCACCGCTTTTTCAGCCTGCCCGATTGGGTTTTCACCTGCAATCTTCTGCAATAAGACTATATAATTGCAGCAGTTAACTAACCAAGCATGCAGGTGTCTCTGTGAGATGAACACGTTCACATTGCTGGCAGATGGGTCGTGGAGGTGGTCTTCAGGAATTCAAATCCGAAGAGGGAAGCAAGGGACTAGACGTTTCAGAGTAAATCACTCTGAATTTAGATTGAAATAGCTTGAAAAGAGCTCCTGGAAACTCCAGTGAAATCTCGATCTATTGGAGTAAAAAAAAAGCTCTCCTATTCGTTGGGTCCGTGCTTTGGAGGGATTGAATTTTCACTCAGATTGAGTGAATTTTAACTCCTGGGATTTTCGAGGGATAAATACATATTAAGAAATGTCGATTTAGGGGACGCTTTCACTTTCTTTTCCCTGTCAAAAAGGTGCAAAAGCAGTGGCGTATTTAGCGCGGGGGGGGGGAAACTTGCCCCCTGACAATTTTGTTTACAAAGAATACTTCATCATAGCTAAGAAATTAATCAGTATATCTATCAAATATCAGCACCAAAACGATAAAAGGGGGGGGGGGACACCATGAAAAAAAGCAAGGATGTCTGGACCGCGAGTAAAGCTTTTATTTTGTTCTCCCCCAACATTATGTCAAATAAGCCCGAAGCTGTATTCGCTTTTGAATCCCCCCACCAAAAGTTGGATACGCTGCTGTGCAAATCCCTCAAATTTATCCTCATCCCCGGTGGAGGCCTTAGAAAGGTTACACAAAGAAACCTCTGCCCCCCCTGCGTCTGGTGTGGATCCGCTCTTGGTGTAGGCCGAGAAAACCTCTTGTGCTCACAGGGAAACAATCTAAGGAACTTCTCTCCCTTTTGTATGAAAATGTATCTAAATTTCGTTCCCCTTAACTGAAAATAAATTTCAGCAAGAAATATGTAGCCTGCAATTCTTCTCGACTTTATTTGGCGTGTATCCAAAGCTTTGTTTTGTACTCAAAACTCCTGAAAGAATAGGCACACCAACAAGGCAGTTTTATTTTGTGTGTATGTGTCTCTCGCCATAGCTTCAATTTTAATTAACGTTAAACTGTTCATCCAGAATACCAATACCACAGATTTAGGGCAAACCGGATTAAGGAGTCAAGCCAGCTCAACAAAGATCACTATAGGCGGTACCCATGACCACCAACATATCAACAGTGGTTGTGATACCCAAGACCACAACTCCGATATAGTAATACCCAATGACCACTATTCACTAACACACTAACGGCCGCTGTGTAATCATAATTATTAGAGCAAACAATAAAAATGTAATAGAACTATTAAGGTGCACAGCACGTGCAACCTTCCAGGCACCTGTCTAAAATAATGAAGCTTTACAAAATCACATGGCAAATGTGGTAAACTTTAGTTTCCTCCACTGGCACCTGTATGTAGAGGGGAATAGCCCGTGTGGTACATCACTGGCCATGAATCTACGGCAAAATACATGGACTATATTCATTAAACCTAAATCTGCTTGTGTGGCACATCAAAACAAAACAATTGAGCGACACAAAGTATGGAATAATGGAGCTTTGACCTCTTTTGGGGCCGTAAATTCCATAAACTTGCTTAGTTATCGTGCCTCATAATCCCGTACACAAACCAAGGCATCGAGGAGGAATGACTGGGGAGGAGGCGGGAAAATAATGCAACAGTTCAACGTTGATGTTTGTTGATTGAAGCTGCGACAAAAATGAGGCAACCCGAGCTGTCTGCATGGCGTGGTTGCTATTTCCCGCCATGACCAGAGGCTCATGCTTTGAGTGGCTGCCGAAGGATCCTCCCTCGGCCTCGACTAATGTTTTTTACAAGTTTGATTACTCCAACCACGTCAGCAATGCCTGTAAGGCCTAACATTTGCACGCGACACACCCATGATGCTTCCCATATGTATACCTCAACCGCATGATAGTGCCACACGAACCGCGAACAGCGCGCGTCTACTCTGTGCCGATCCTGCAGGTTCACCCTTCGGGTTACTCACCACTGTCCTTTCCGTTGAGTATAATAAATTTTACCTGCTATGCGGTAAAATGTGTCAATCACAAATTTTCACAAAAATTATCATGGAAACAATGGGTTAGCAAGCTACGAATGTGTGCATCTTATAAGGGTCTGCAATCGTCCTCATCGGTAGGCCTATAAGGACGAACCCAGAACCAAATTTTCGAAGAACTTAGTTTTTGAAGGCCATAAATATGGGATTTTTTTCACATAACCTTTTATGGCCGTTTTAAAGGCCGAGGCTACATTTTTAGGGCTTTTGAAAAACAATTGTTGTTGTTGTTGTTTTATGATTGATTATTCCGTTTTACTTGTTTCCATCCTGCTCCTCTGCTATTGGTATTCACACATTCGCCGATACAAAAGCCAGTTTTATCAGAAATAATTACACACTTTACTCTGTTCTCGCTGATGCATGCTGGAAGCTGGAGGATAGAGAATAATTAAATCGAATGATAATGAAGCAGTGTGGTGCATTTTTTTTCCAATTGATTTGTTTTAATGATTTTCTACTTGCCTCGTGTAAACTCGAGCCTCACTTTGTTATCTCTCTTTCTTCGATGACGAATGACGTGAAATCAATTGTGAATGCATATTTCTGTTTATGCAAGCGCAGCAACTTCCAGTGTCATTTCCACCGTCAGAGTCTGAAGGGATAAACAGGGGATAGATTAATGATTTAGGGAGACGCAGAGTGGCAACTGCTGTCTCACTGTCTACCCCCAGCAGTGTTTAATGCAGCCAATGATTACCGTTCTTTCAATTCAAACCTGATGGAAGGTGCAAGCGCAGCAACTTCCAGCGTCACTTCCACCGTCAAAGTCCGACAGGATAAACAAGGGATAGATTAATGATTTAGGGAGACGCAGAGTGGCAACTGCTGTCTCACTGTCTACCCCCAGCAGTGTTTAATGCAGCCAATGATTACCATTCTTTCAATTCAAACTGATGGAAGGACCAATCGAGTTATGCCTTTTGGCATTACTGCCACGCCCATACTTGTTAATGCAATCATCTTCACTGGCCGATCCCAGTACAAAATACGCAGCCAGTTTCCCAGCATTGAGTATACCCACGTCGGTGAGAAAAGGACCGTCTGAGGTTCCCCGCTTGTCTCCAGCCTAAGTACGCTATCTTCAAACTTGGAGGAAAGAGAGAGGTTGCAAACCAGCCTACCGGTGCCTTTACCATGGCACGCATCTTCTGGATTTGCATCGCTCTGCTTTTTGTCGTTTCACATCCAAGGTAAGGGTTTACTGTCTTCGAGGATTTAGGAGCTGCTGAGGTTTAATCTTTGTCCAGTGAAACAGCAGTAAAGTACTGTAACTGGCGCCCAAGTGGTGGCCTGAAGTGGTATGTAATTATGTCTAAGTTTCGNTATACACTTTCCGTCACATTATTGTTATTATAATAATTTTTTCTATTCATGAGTGTTTATTCCGTTATACTTGTCTCCATACTACTCTTCTGCTATTGGTATTCACACATTCGCCGATACAAAAGACAGTTTATCGGAAATAATTACACTTTACTCTGTTCTCGCTGATGCATGCTGAACGCTGGAGGATAGAGAATAATTAAATCGAATGATAATGAAGCAGTGTGGTGAATTTTTTTCAATTGATTTGTTTTAATGATTTTCTAAAGGAAAGTGCAAATTTCCCTGTGTAAACTCGAGCCTCCTTTGTTGTCTCTCTTCGATGACGAATGACATGAAATCAATTGTGAATGCATATTTTGGTTTCTACAAGCGCAGCAACTTCCAGCGTCACTTCCACCTTCAAAGGTTGAACAGGGGATAGATTAATGATTTAGAGAGACGCAGATTGGCAACTGCTGTCTTACTGTCAAAACCTAGCAGTGTTTAGTGCAGCCAATGGTTACCATTCTCTCAATTCACACCTGATGGAAGGACCAATCAACTTATGCCTGTTGGCATTACTGCCACGCCCATACTTGTTAATTCACTCATCTTCACTGGCCGATCCCAGTACAAAATACGCAGCCAGTCTCCCAGCAATGAGTATACCCACGTCGGTGAGAACAGGACCGTCTGAAGTTCCCCGCTTGTCTCCAGCCTAAGTACGCTATCTTCAAACTTGGAGGAAAGAGAGAGATTGCGAACCAGCCTACCGGTGCCTTTACCATGGCACGCATCTTCTGGATTTGCATCGCTCTGCTTTTTGTCGTTTCACATCCAAGGTAAGGGTTTACTGTCTTCGAGGATTTAGGAGCTGCTGAGGTTTAGTCGTTGTCCAGTGAAACAGCAGTGAAGTACTGTAACTGGCGCCCAAATGGTGGCCTGAAGTGGTATGTAATTCATGTCCAAGTTTCATCAGTTTGTATAGGATATGAGTTTCTTTCAGTTTCACAATTCCGATGGCAGTCCTGCGCGGTTACCGTTAAATGCTGCACGTGTATTTATTTCATTTGCAAAAGCAGTTGATTTGACT